TGATGTTACATAATACTGTGCCAACGGATGTTGTGCATTAAGAATAATAAAGTTGCAGATTAGATATGAACAATACTATGACCTGGAAGTGTCATATCCAAATTGTGCTGAGGTTGAGAACAATGAAATTGAATTTAAATGAACAATGAGTATTTGAAAAAGAACAAAAAAATGAAGGACCAGAGTGAAACCTATCAAAAATAAAGAGACTTAGTATTCTGGGTAGATGGGCCTTCAAAGAGGATTCAGTCTCATGCAGACTCAGTTCATTGTCTCCAGGTATTGCCAGCTATGCTATATTTTATCAGAAAAAAGGATTGATTAATTTTAAGTAACAGGAGATCTGCATACCTAGACAGAAGGAGGTGGGCTGAGGATACAGTAATTTCACTCCCTCATCTGAGGCCCCTTGACAGACTTGCACTTCCTCCTTTGCTCTGAGTTTCTTTGCATTTCTAGTCTTAATGTTATTTTTGTTTTGTAAGACGTTCTAAACATATTTTTAACTTACAGTCAGTGGAGGTTTACCCAGATAACAAGAGTACCTAGATCTATAACAGTACATCTTTAAACAATAAGCAGGGGCAGAAGTGATATCACATCTCAAGTGTCAGGGTTTAGGCCATTTTAAGTGAGTGGTAGGAGGAGATGCAACTGGGCAGCAGATGGTCCTGCATCTTCCTGTTTTGGGGTTTCTTACACCTCACTCTGCAGCATGCGGTGCTGGCTGCTGTCAGACACACAATATTGGGCTAGATGGCCCATATGGGTCTTCTCCAATATGGCAGTTCCTATGTTCTTATGATCAGTAGCATTAAAATCACTTTAAAGTGAAATCTTCGCATGAAATCCTGACCACACAGAAGGGAAAGGCAAAAGTCTTTTGGGATTTTCGGTCGTGTTACCTGATGGTTTTTGGAAAGACATAAAAACCTCATTTTAATCCATTGTATATAGCGCCTCAGCTTTGCTCTGTGCTTGCTCCAAATCAAACAATCTAAGCAATAATTTTCAGTAATGAAATCCACCAATTAAAATATTTTTCAGATTTGCTATACATTTGACATTCATTTTGTTGTTCAAGAGAAATATGGTGCACAGCAAAAGGCCATATAATGCCAACCAGATTTATGTAGAGCTTTTAATTGTTTCCACTTAATAAATTGATGGTACAATTAGTTTCAGACATAACCATTCCTGGAAATCACATTTAAAGTTGGGGTCATGACAAAGTATAATAAAATATATTTCTGGAGAAAGAGTTGATAACTCTAATGTAAAAAAGCAATAATTTACCATAAGGTGATAACAATTAAATAGGCCAGGAGTAACATATATTCAGGGCTAGTATTTTTTTTTTAATGTTTAATACCCAGGATTGCAAACCTTTCAAATCTGTATTTTTTATACCTTTTTCTTATCATCATTACTATTATGATAACATGAGCATAGGGCAGTTATTTCCTTTGTACTGTTATGGGGAATCTTTGCTTCCCATATGAAGTATCATTTACATAAATCTGACTGAATTAGTGCTCCTGTTCTAATGTTACATTTGTTTTAAAAACTTGCAGTATAATAATCCTTATGTGCATCCCAAAGCATTTTCATAGCAGACTATAAATAACTCTTTTACCTCTCTGCCTGCCATACAGCAGCTGTTTAATAACCCCCAATAGCACCACACCAACTTAGGACAAGAAGTCATCATCTTCTTCTCATGTCCTGTCTGAGATTGTTGCTGACGGGTATTTAGCAGAATTTGCAGATTCATTATAACCTGACAGGGCTGCAACGTGGGGGCGACTGCTATGGCCATTATGGCAGCTGGAATTCACTAAAGGTGAAAATCCTATATATATTTGAAATGCAAAAGGAAATATGTTGGTACAGTGCAGACATGTACTAGGGCTAACCACAGTCTACTCTTGTTAGAAGCATTGTGAGATCTTTCAGAGGCACGAGTAGATAAGTCCTCGGATTTATATTGCATCTGAAAAAATGTCAATCCCAACAGCACAGTGTTCCTTAATCACATGTTGGGGAACACTCCAAAATGGGAAGTACAAACTACTGATGCTCCAACATGACTCCTCACACCAGCAAGATGTTACTGGAAGTCTCCTGTCCATTTTGCCAAACCTTACACTATCTGACATGATCCAGTGCTTAAGATCCCACGGCGATGGGCACAGCCTTAGCGTTTAAACAGAACACAATTTCAGCACGATAGGGCTGCTAATAATAATATCCAACTTTCTATTTCAAATGAAGTCTCATGTATGATTTATGGACGTGAGCCATACTTCGTGTTTTCCCATTGCACTCTGGTTACTCAGAACAAAGTTGGCCTTCAAGATGAATTAAACCATATATTTGACATAGGGATGCTGACTGTGTCTGAAGAGTTAAAACAAAAAAGGAACTCCCTATTAGACTATGAGAAAGGGAGACAATACAAGATGTTTCTTTGTTTGATGTGGCATTTTGTTTCGTGTTCAGCTAGTTCATGACTATTCACCGCAGTTAGCTGGAGTATCTGCTACAGAGCCTAATAATTAATGTTTCGGCGTGTAAAGCTGTAGCAAATACACATTTTCTGTGTCATTTCAAGAGTCATTGCTGTCTCCTCCTTTTCACAGGTGGTGGCCTTAGGAGAGGTGCCTGATGGGACAGTGGTTACTGTCATGGCTGGAAATGATGAAAACTATTCCGCAGAGCTGAGAAATGCCTCTGCTGTGATGAAGAACCAAGTGGCCAGGTTTAATGACCTGAGATTTGTGGGCAGAAGTGGAAGAGGTAGGCCACTACATTTTACATTTTTATAATGAAGTAAAAACAAAGTCTAGACATTAAACTGGTTCCACAATGAAATACTGATTAGCCTGTAAATAAATCATCATCGGCCTTTCATCTTCGGGGATAAATACAGGTTTTATTTGCAAACTTCAGCATTTGTCCAAACCAAGTTTGTTGTCTTTCTGTCTTGCCAAGTTTGTCTGACTCCTTATATTTTTTGGTGTTTTTATGAGATCTGAATTTTGAGAAAAAGATATATTTACAGAAGACATGATGCCCTCTTTTGACCTCACTGGCAGAGTAGGAAGAATTAAGAGCCCATGCTCTGAGCTATATGTAATCAGGTAAAAAAATTCAGGGCATGGCAAAGAAAGCAAAAAAATACATATTACTATTTTGTCTTCAGCTGTAAAGCCGCCTCTTAAGTTTTCATAGGAAGAAATATCATGGTTTTTTGCATCTCACGTGCTATAGGCTATACACTTTATGGTTTCTTCTAGTAGTTGGAAAGCCTTTCAGTGACTTCATTTCACATTGGGCAAGTTAGTTATGCGCTGAAAAAATAAGTCTCATATTCTCCGTTAGTAACTTATTTAACATTATAGACCTTCATGGTAGGCTTTTTATATGAGTGAAATGTAACTTCGAATACATTGCTTACTTCAGAATGGCCCTGAAAATAACAACTTTCTATTTCCCTAGAGATTTAGAGCCCTGAAGTTGACTCTGCTGCTTAGGAGCTTCCTATAATCTGAAATCTATACTCCAGTCATAGGAAGCTTTTATAAAGATAGCAGGATTGACAAGAATTTCCTTTCAAGATCCTTGTGACTGCTTTAACATTTGAGTTAATGACTGAAAGGATGTCTTAAAGGAAACCGGCACTTCGGTCTTTGCTGAAGGGATCCTCAAAGGGGCTCGTGATATCAGCTTCTGATTCAGTCAAAATATTTTATTTATTTAACATAGATTTTCATTTTTATAAACCAGCTCTGAAAAAAGAAAGCAAAGTCTATGTTGCAAACTTATAAAAAAAAATAAAATAAAATTTTAGAATAATACACTCTGCAAAACACTTAGAATATAGCTTTGAGGGAGAGACCATTTGTCAGAGCAAGTCAAACATCTGACAACTGTCTCTAGAGTTTAAATCAGATGGCACATTGTTACAATTAGAAGTATTTGATAAAAGTGATTCCGTAAGGGTCGTTTCCAGAGACTAGTTTTCATTTTACGAACGTGGCCAATAATGTATACTTCTCAGCTTCTTACTTTTCATTAAAAAACCTTCATAATAAAGAACAATTCTCCTGCAAAGGAAATAGCATATGAAAATGGAGTGTGTGAAAAGGATAACAACTTCCTAAGAGAAGGCGTTATTCTCCTGTTCCATTTCTCTTGCTCTCCTTTTAAAAATATTAGTGTCCACTTTGTCTTTATGTTGATGGATTAAATGTGAAGTTTCTCTGGCTCCATCACCAGTTCTGCTTTTCAATAAAAGAACAGTAGTATATCCCATAACAAGTGCTGAAAAATAACTGGACTATGATGTACTACCTGTGCACTGTGAATCTCATTTGAAACCTATGAAATATACTTTCTCTTAAAACATAGAACATGATGACGAGTGTCTAAGGATTCAGGCTATATAGATACACACACACACACACACACACACACACACAAAACTTCTTTTATTTGGCCACACCCAAGGGCTTTAATTTATCTTTTATATTCTACAGACTTTGCACAAGAAGTTTTTTCTGATCAATCTGGGTAAAATCTATGGAAAAGCGATAGTGTACTTTGCAAACCCTCAACATATTTATTTAAGAAACTTCAAAGAAAAACAAAGGGTGTGCACTGTTTTACTATATTGGCTTTCTGAGTTTTGGCTAGTTTCCCAAATAGCAATTTTTATATTTAAAAAAAAAAGAAGAAAAAAGACAGACTTAACTGCTTGCAGACTTTTCACGCATGGAAGATGAAGAAAGCTTCTTTTGATGAAGTGTAATTATGTCCAAACAGAGCTGACCCCCTCCCCCCATATTTCTTATGATCTTAACGGAAGAAAGTAGGGTTTTTTCCTTTGAAGCAGCCGGGACTTGGTGGAGGATCTGAAATACTACATTCTGCTGCCAGAGGCAGGATGGAGAAATTGGTCCAGACTTGTCTTCCAGACTAAGACAGAACAGAGAGGGAGAGAGAGTGTTATCATTAATGATAGATTTTTATAACTCCACTTAAAATAGCAGGAAAGGAAACAGTAGTAGCAAACAGAAGTGAAAAAGTGACACCATAGAGCACAGACGTGTATTGGTAGGTGCGTGTCTTGAAGTTGTCAGTGACAAGAAACTAATCCACACCTGCTCCTGACTTTTTACATTTACATCTTTCTAAGCAGCTGCCTCTTTGATCATTGCATCTCTTAACTTGATTGTGAAGTCTGAATCGTCAGCTTACCACTTTGCCTTCTCTCCCACGTTTTCCTTGTTTCTTGTGGCCCGATGGCGAGATTTGAGGTTTTTTGTATGTTTTTCTCTGCTGTTGATCCAGCGTACGTTGGCAGCTTCATAGTTTTGTTTACGTGTTCTCTCGCACGCACCTTTCTACATTGAGAAAAAATAAGCACCCTTGATACAGGGCCCTTGAGGTGTATGTAGAAGTCCCACTGATCTCAATCAAAGCTGTTTTAGGTGAGGTTTTGAGGTAGTAGCTAACATTTGGGCCAGACTGAAAGTCCACAGAAGTCATGGGTGGGACTCCCACCTTCAGTAGACTGTGGATCTGGACCTTAACGTTTTTGTGTCTTGATGTTTTGAATTAGCATCTGGCTGGAAAATATGCACCACGCGCAAGTCGCTGAGTTTGCCTCTAAGTTAATTTCTCTCTCAGCCTTGCACTTGAGCATATGCCAGTCCTGTTCATTACTGTGTCAGCTACACTTGCATATGTTAATGACAAAGGATGAATGGTTTGGGAGACACTAAAGAAACAGTGCCAGAAGATTTCCAAGCCAATTAGGTCCATAAAAGAGTGTTAATATTAGTCCTTAGCTACAACAAATAAATAGCTTAAATTTTAAGGGCACAGAGAAACCTACTAAAAAAAGTTATGTAGGTTTGGTACATGATAAATGATATCCATGAAACCAGTGAAATCTGTCTTTGGAAAGGTAAGCACGCTTGCAAACATATACCATTATGCAATGAGCCCGATCCTGTGACACACAGGTTACTTTCTATGAAGTGTCGGGTGCCTTTAATCACTTTTGACGTCATTGGAAATGGAAGCACTCAGGGCCCTGCAGCACTGGGCTCTCATAGTACAATAATGTGATCTATTATTTATTAAGAGGGGTTGGCTCCCGAAATACTGCTTCATTCCTCTTTGGCAGTGTAGTCACTCGGATGCTGGCACAGGCTGAAGGCCAAATGCAACCCTTTGTGTAGCGGGGTGGGTGTTTTTGGTCATTTTAAGGGGGTGGGATTTTTTAGGCTAGAAAATCTTGCAGTACTTGTCTAATGAATGAATTTTCCAATGGTTACCAGCAGAGCACATCATCCTGGTAGCTTTTCATTGACAGAGGCTTTCATGCCTGCTTGAGATATTAATAAAGGGATAAAACTCTAGGGCCAAATTCTGCCTGTAGGCGCACACGGAAGCTCCCTTGGATGTCCGTGGCAGCTGCCTCAGCACGAATGAATAAAATGTCACCGGTGAATATAGATGCAAGCAGCGGGCTGAATTCCAGGGGGGTAGGAAAAATGGCATGAAACCTTGCTAATATACAAATAAGCACACATGCAGTATATGCTGACTTAGTAACATTATGATGTGTCTGGATTCCCCCTACCCACAGCTGCCTTTTGTATTTTGTCTTTGCAAAGAGACAAGGCATAGGGACCACTGCCTGGCCGGGGCGTCACCATATGTGTATGTGTTAGGACCGCGTCCACGGTTCTGCTGCCGTTTGCTTCTATCGTGGTTGTTCTTGAGGCCATCGAAAGAGCTTTTTCCCTCCCCCCACCGAGGGTTTGGGGCAACAGCTTCTGCCTGTTGTTAGAATTTAGCTCCTTGAATTTTCCAGAGCCCGGCCTGAGTCTCAAACTCCCGGATTTCAACCTAACCTGTGTCTCTTGGAGAAGGGGGCACAGCTGGAGCACAGTTGCACCTGGAAAGTCATTTTACTCTAAATGACAGTTATATTCCCTTCAAGCGGTCTCTGTCACATTCTTACTCTTAAAAAATATGGCCAAGACCGTCTAAAGTCGCACGCCCGATAATAAATGATGCGTGTCCCGAGCAGGTTTGGAAAGTATATGACTTGGGTTAAAAAGAAAGGGCAATGACTGTATTTGACAGCCAAAGTTCTGTTCTGTATTATGCCTTATATGTAACCTGTTCTAGATTAGGCTTTGAAAAGATTGCATTAAGTTTGTGCTGTTACATATTGTTTAAGATTTGTGTTTTGATTGAATACCTTCGGAGTTCAACAAGGGGGAAAACGGGCACCGGCAAAAAAAAAGAAAAAGAAAAGTTAAAAAAAAAAAAAAGTTTTAAAATTCTGGTAAAGTAGCAGCTTAAATGAGCAGTAAAGCCTGAGATTGCTGACTGTTTTATTGAGTCACTGTTGTACGCCCACCTTTTCCTGTCTTGAAACAGTTTTCAGTTTTGACTATCTGACATGACTAACCGTTGCATATCTAACTGATTACAACTGTCAGTGAGTCTCCAGAACAGAGGCCCGTGTCTTCTTGTGAGAACGCATGCTGAAATCCAGGCTGCTGGATTTATTTCTTTATTTTTAATTCCTTCACTGTGCCAAAGGCTCCAGATCACCATGTTCAAGAGTTGGGTGAAATATAGCATTGAACGTTTAAAATGCAGATCTGCGGCATGCAATATTTTGTCCGTGCACAAAACAATTTTTCACTGTCCGTGGATAGTTATTTCAAGATTTAATAAATGGAATATGTGTAAAAGGGGGGGTGAGGGAAATCTTCGTTCCAGTAATGATGATATCATCATATTACCACAGGCTTATTAAGGACGGGAGATGCCAGCTCCCTGTTAAAATGACTCCCACGAGGAATATATATTCTTTCCTCATCTTATTGTACTCAATTGAAACAAATGAAATGATAAAACCATGTGACGTAAATACCATAGGGCCACCTTCTGCTTTCTGTCTCACTCCTGGAGAACTGAGTAACTCTTAACATTATCTGAATGGTTTTGAATTCACACCACTTTGAACAAGGGGAGAATTTGGCTTAGCAGCAGCAGCACATTACTCTTGTTCTACTATTATATGATGACCCAATATTAAATAAGGGGTGTTTAAACTGTCAACACTCAGATATATTCCTGACAGCAGAGTAAAACTGAAGGAGAAGAAAACTCCTATAGCCAGCCATGTAAACACCTAAGATTTTTTTATTGAGTATGCACGGGTCTTCTTTTCATGTTATAATAAACCGTTCCTTTTTTTCCTCCCTTTTTTGTAGGGAAGAGCTTTACCTTGACAATAACTGTCCTTACAAATCCCCCTCAAGTTGCTACATACCACAGAGCTATCAAGGTTACCGTGGATGGACCAAGGGAACCAAGGAGTAAGTTTCATAGTCCTATTTTATGCTTTTCCTGTCTGCTGGTGGGAGTCTGTACAAGTAAAACCACTTGCTGTTGTTTAATATTATACATTTCTTTGGCAAGCATATGTCCCCATTCGGCAAAATACATGAGCTTAGACTTAATTTTAATCACGCTTAATTTGAAAACCACTGGATTATTCACATGCTTCAGGTTAAACATGCTTAAATGCTTTGCTGACTTAGGGCAATATTAAACCTGATTCTTATTTAAACCAAGGCTTGGTACACCACACTGACACTCTTAAGGGCCCTGAGCGTCAATGAGACTCAGGCCCATTGTTTTGATATATAATTTGAATTATGGACAACAGACCCAACCTTGCAAGGCATTGAATGCCCTCAGTGGGCATTAGCTTCAAGCTGGGGATGTTCAGAAACTGATGGGAGATATTCAGCATCTTGCAAGATCTGTCCCAACATATGGGGAAAAAATGCAAAGTAGGTTTTTTTGCCTGTGAGTTCTTTTGCCACCTGACAATAAATGCATTGAGCACCCTGATTATTGAGAACCTCGTCTTGCTGAAAACTGGGTTTTCCTGGCATCATGTCATTTTTCATCAGTGGACTCACCCCAGACCCTTGAGAGCAAAATGAGTAATCATAAAAGCACTGGGGTGTCAACACAACAATCTTTGAGTGTTTCCCATGTAAAGAAAGGGTGGGTTTTTAAACAAAAACAAGGAAAATGCCACCAACCTGTCACTCACCCGCATATATTTTTTATAACATGTACACTCCTGATTTATCAAGAATCTAGCTGTAGTGATTGCTGACTTTATTGTTCAAACAGTTGTGTTTTGTCATGTTCCAGTAATTATTATAGCTAGCACCTACGATTAGATACAGTCAGGTCTGGTTAATCCATCTTGATCTGTCTGTCTGTCTGTCTAGCAGCTTTAACTGGTAATCAATCTTACATCATCAGGTACCACTAACAAGCCAATCCCAGGCTTCTTAATCTAACTAGAAACTCTTTTCAAATTGATTGGGATCAACCAGGTCTGCCTGTATTTTAAATTATATTTAGAGATTAAGGATTATTTGATGAGTAACCACATAAAAAATCCTGGTAATGAAGTATTTTGAATTATTGCTTTGCCTTTGATCAGCAGCTATAGATGAGATCTTTTGGGAGCTCTTAGGGAGTTTTATTTAAAATACTGCAAAGTTACCAGCAGACAGAATTGTAAACAAAGAAGTGGTTCCCCTGCCAAGACAGCCAGCATTGCAGGATCATGTACAAATGAGAGAAGAGACATAAAAGGTCTTCTGCTTTATGTAAGAATTGCCTTATCTTTGTATTTTCTCCCCGATCAGCAAGTGAGAACAGTCAAGCAGCTCTGCTCTTACAAAAATATTTTATCCCATAGATACCTCTGGTGCTGCCTGCTTGGTTTCTTGCTTTTTTTGGTCCTGTCCACTTTCCCTTGTTAAATTAACTTCACTACAAGGATGCTGTGTTCATTTGTGACAGCTGCTCTATCTGGCCTGCTGGGGGCTTTGGGTTTAAATGACTCCTTGGCGTAACACTGACGGAGTTAGTTAAGTCAGGAATGATGTGCTCATTTTTATTTGGATGCTGCTTCCACGTGTTGTTGCATCAGTGAAACAGGAAATCTCCATGCGAAGCAGATAGCACAGCGTGAGGAGGTGGGAGGAGGAGAGTGTAGAGAGAGTAATATGTGAATAGGCTGGGATGGCTCAGACTGTGGTAGAGTAATCTAATTAGGCTGGGATGGCACTATGCCAGAAACCACCAGAGCCAAGGTAAACCTATGTTAAAAGAGCTAAGTAGGACTTCCAAGATTCACCTACGTTTTTTATTTTAGTTGCTATGGGCCAGATTTTCATAGGTATTGGGCACCTGCTCTTAACTGACTTCACTTGGGCCTGTGTATGTTCGCTAGCTCTGAAAGTCAGTTCCTGTACCCTAGCTGGAGTTCTTGTGTATCTAGTTTCCCTTTTTCTTTTGACAATAAGTCAGTCAAGTGTGACCAGAAGGGTTTGCTTTGAGTTTAAAATAATATCTGCTTGGTTTGCTCTTCTTCAAGTCAGTTGGTTTGTCATTTTGGAGCAATACAGGATCATAATACCTAGAGACCCAGTGTGGGAGTCGTTAATGTGAGTGATAGAAAAATAGGTCTGGAAAAGGAATTATTCAGTAGAAATTTCACTTAAGTTCCGTTCTTTTGTGAATCCCTCCACTAATTTTTGGCCCGGTAGTGATTGCTATTAATTTCTGCAGTAAACAAGAACAGCTGGAATCCACATTGCACAAGGAAAGCTAGGTGATTGGGAGAAATAATGAATCTTAAACCAGTGGCTCCAATAGCAAATGTATTTTTCTTAATGAGTTATGTTTCAGAAAACAGTGCCCCTCTCTGCCAGGACCTGCATTTTGCTCAGACGTCCAAAGCATGCTATCCTATTTTTTCCTCTCTCTGGCAGCTAAACCAGGGCTGTCACATCACAAACAACTTCTTTTCTTAATATACACATCTGGCGTTGGCAGTTGGACCAACTTCATAAGAGCACATGATCATCATTCATTACAAGATTAAAAAGTACCCCATGGCATCATTGATGTTTTTTAACTTTGATCTTTTGCAGTTGTGATTCATCTCGGTTATAAAACTTCCCTTGAAAAGAACACAACCAATGACTTATTAGAACCTTCATCCTAAGTAGCATAAACATAAAATTATGCACATCTTTACAAAATGTCATTTACTTTGCTTGCCAGCTTATCATTTTAAGACATGACATCATGCTTAAGATCCTGAATTTGTAAGACTTGTTTATAGGCAAAGCACTTTGACCTTCTGTTGGCAAGTTGATTGGAGAGAACAAATGCTGTATGCTTTCCAGCAGCCGCCGTAGGAGCAGTGGCCATACCACAACAGACGTCCCAATCACTTAGAGCCTGACTTTAAGAGGTGCTGAACAGTCACGACACCCAAGGACGTCAGTTGGTGTTTTGGATGCTCAGCACTTTGGAAAGTCAGATTGTATAACGTATTAGCTCTCTGTATTGTGTTAAAATATCTTCCTGTGGAAGTTTGCTGCCTTCATTTCTCTGTTATTATTAGTGTAAAATATTTTAAATAGAGACAGTGATGTGAGGAAGAGCTGTACATTTCTATTTGGGGGAGAAAGTAAACATCTTCCTGTGCCTTTTCCAAGGAAAGAGGGTTTTTTCTTTCACAAATTAACTCACTGTGAGCGTGAGTACAGCCCAGGAAGTTTACACTGCTGGCTAGGCTTTGTGTTAGATCAAAACGTAGCACTGGTAGTGGAGGCTGCAGTGCAGAAAGGGTAGGACAAATTTATGCTTTCTCGAATACCTTATTTATTCCCTTATTCACATTAAGTAACCTCCTTTCTTTTATATATATAGACCTATCCTCCAGCTCCAAGACCTGAAAGGAGGTCTGCCAAAGAGCCTACTGCTCATGAACTAATCACCGACCTACAGATATAACTGTAGAAGAACACAAAATTAACCACCCAGTTTCCTCTGGGGCTCAGTTGTATGCAGCCTCGGTTGTACTAAATCAGTCTTGGGAGGAAGTCAATCCCAAGTCTGTCTTGGGAGGAAAAAAAGAAACTCTGCCTTGTCAGCCCATCGTGGCACCTTTCGAACAGCAAAAAAGCTTTGCTGTCTTACACTGCTTCTGGTTGAAGTAAGTGGCTATTGGCAAGTACAGAGCAGGAGCCATAACAGAGAACGGGTTGTAGGGTATATATACCTTTTATGTGTTGGCTTTGGTTCTCAGACTGAAGTCCAGGTCTCATTGAATGTAGTCTCCATACTGGTTGACTGCATTTAGCGATAGTCTCATACAAGAAAAGTTCCAAACTTTCCGCTGAAATGCATTGCTGGGGAAAAATCTGCCTGCATTTCACTTTCACTTGCAGGTGAATAAACCATATATATATATATATATATATATATATATATAGATATATAAAATCTGCAGCCAAAGCCTTGCAAGGTACATAAGCAATGAAAGGTATGAGCAAACACGGCCCTTTTGTCTCTGCACGTTACAAAAGACAAGCAAAAGCTAGCAAGAGGAGCTGGTCATCCTGAGTATTAACTGTTTGGCTGACTGGCTTATAAAATACAGAGCAATGACTGAGATTTTTGAGATTCCTAGACTTAGAAGCGTAACAGTTTTTAGGAAGCTCTCTCTCTCTTTTCTTTCAAGGGCTGCGAGTGGAGGGATACGTCTGAGGCTGGTGGAATGTGCTTTTGAGTAGAATAGCTTTAAATCTCCTTCATTTTTTTCTTTTTGTTGTTGACTGACTGTCAGGAGCTGGGCTGGTGGCCAAGCAGGAAATGACACATCGAGAGGCATTTGTGTTGTGCAACATTTTGTGGAACTGATGCAAGGATACATTGCCTGTTTACGCATTCCTTCACTAACAGACTGCATGGCAGTAATTTTATTCAGCGACACATGGCACACTACAGCAAGGAGCTAGATCCTTAACATCTCTTTATGCAAAATTATCACAGCAGTTAAAACATGCTGTGTGTCCCCTGTTTAGAATATTCCCTGGCTCGCCTTCAAAAACCACTACACCAGCCCCTTTCTTTCCTCGGCGTATATTGATTTGAATATGTTTTTCCACTGTGGTAGGTTTGTACAGTCCAGGGCAATGTCTTTTTTCAGAACAAAAGTGTGTTTTGCACAGACAGGCACTTTATGCCTACATATTGTATTCAATGTAGGTTAGCAATTCCTCAAGCAGTATGTATTCTAGAAGCTGAGTATAGATTTGTATACGAATGCGGTAATAGTCTGGCATACTCGGGAAACTTGAATTTAAATCGACGCTGAGAACCTTGAGGTATTCTAAAAAGAGTGGATTTCTGCCTAAACCAAAGTTAGACTATCTGAGCCTATTTGTGATCTTCCTCACACTGGTCAATCTCCATTGAAATCAGTTAG